CCGTAGCGATACTGCCTCGGAAACCCAAGGAGGGGTCGCTATGAGTCGCGTCCGACTTGACAGCACATAACAACAATATAGAGATTGTTTTACTTACAAAACCAAAAAAAAAGAACCTGTTACTTTTGAGTCAGTTTCAACTCGGAGATCCTATGGGACAAAGTAGAACTTCCCATAGGGTTTCCAAGACTGTAATCCTCATGGAAGCAGACTGCCACGTTTTTCTCCCGTGGAGAAGCTGACAGAGAGGCTGGTGTGTTTGAACCACCAGCCTTTTGGTTAGTAGCCAAGCACTGAGCTACTGTACCACCAGGGCTCCTTGTTTTAGTTATAATGACTGGTATTTATAAGCATCTGCCCCCACCCAAAACCTTGTTATTATTGAGTAGATGGTACTTTGAAAAGAATATAAGACTCTTAGAGAATGTGTAGGTTCAGAAGAAGTTCCCAAAAGCAGCATCTGCACAAGGAAGTAGAGAGGGTTGATTCTCAAGAGGTGGTATGCCCAACCTCCCAGAGGAAGGGTAAATAATATTGTCTCAAAATACAGTCTTGGATTTCTCTTTGTCACACAACCTGAAATACTGGCAGGTATCTCAAATCCACATGCCTGTTTTAAAAAGCAAACAAAGACTTGCCAAATAAATAACATATGCAGACTGCCTCTAGATTAGAGAATCGTTTAGGCTCAAGAGTGAAGTATAAGTACTTCTAGGCAAGTTGAAGGGGGTCTTCAGAATGTCTTCCTGTAATCAGGTGTACTTGGTGACTCGTGACTTGAAGGGAAAGGGAGAAGAGCCATTCTGAGATACGGGCTCCTCGGGAATTAGACATGTCTTCAGTTGCAGTGCTTGAGGCAAGGGGGTCGGGGGGTCCAGTGAAATTTGAGGGTGTTAAGAGGTAAGAAGGAGCTCTGGTGGTACAGTGGTTAAAGCATTGAACTGCTAACCAAAAGATCAGTGTTTTGAACCCACCACCTGTTCCACGGGAGAAAGATGAGGCAATCTGCTTCCACTGTTGTTGTTGTTATGTGCCGTCGAGTCGGCCCGACTCATAGCGACCCCTCCTTGGGTTTTCGAGGCAGTATCATTACGGAAGTAGGATTGCCCAACCTTCCTTCCGAGGAGTGGCTGGTGGGTTTGAACCGCCAGCCGTCTGGTTAGCAGGCAAGTGACTTAGCCACTATGCTACCAGAGCTCCTAATCTGCTTCCATAAGGATTTACAATTTTGGAAACCCTATGGGGCCTTTCTACTCTGTTCTGTAGGGTTGCTATGAGTCGGATGGCAGTGGGCTTGGGAGGAACGGGTAAGGGCCCACAGAGGACACGACAGAGTGCATAAAGGGAAATGGGAGGTTGCTAAGACATATGTGCTTTGTTTCAAAACTGTAACTGGAAATTCTTAATCTTCCTCCTCTTCTTCCCTGACCACATATGATTGCTCCCAGAACTCAAACTGTCCGTTCTACATTTTAGACATAATTCTATTTAAAAATATTCTTGTGGATTCAAACCTGGTTTTTTATGGGAAATGTGTTGTACAACCAACCAACTTGTAAATGGAGTTTTGGATGTGGAAGCTGTCCGTACTAGAAAAGAGTTACTTTGGGAGGTAAAACCACGGTGATTTGATGGTGTGCTAACTTGTGTCAGGAAAATAAAGTTGTGCCTGTTTGAATACCTATTATGTGTAAATAGGCATGACTTACAATTACTTCATTCTTTAATTGGAATTCTTTAATACAGTTTTTCTTATTCCTTTGATTTGTAATATTTGTGAAATATTTGTAAATTTCTGTTCTTTCCCTATCAAAAAATGATTTCAAGGGCAGAATATTTGAGTTCTTTTTATGTATTTTATTTTGTTTATTCATAAATTGACTTTATTGAAACATCCATATCTAAGCTGGTTTCCCTGTCTCTTCTCCTACTCCTGACTCTCCAACTTAGTAACCATCTGCTTTCAAGTCAATCCTGACTCATAGAAATCTAGTAGACCTTCCTTATTTCTCCATTTTTTGTTAATGGGATTTTTGTTTATTCATCCTAGGTAGAAATTTATCTTCAACTTATGTCAACTTCTGCTCTGCATCAAATACCCAAGCACATGGTCTTATCCATTCTTTTTTAACAATTTCCTTACTTTCTCCTTATTGTTCCTGCTATTACCACCATCAGGAGCTCTTGTGGTATAGTGGCTAAGGCATTTGGCCGCTAACCAGAAGGTGAGCGGTTCAAACCCACCAGCTGCTCCTTGGGAGAAGGATGAGGCAGTCTGCTTCCGTAAAGATTTATAGCCTTGGAAAAGCTATGGGGCAGTTCTGCTTTGTTCTGTGGGGTCACTATGAGATATAATCAACTCAATGGCAGTGGATTTGGTTTGGGTGTATTATCATGTATTAGACTGGATTCTGTAGAGAAAATAAAACCCGTAAAGCTTATATAGAGAGAGAAAGAGAAATTTATCTTAGGAAAATGGCTCACACACTTATAGAAGCTGGCAAGTCCAAAGTCCTTGGATTTAACGTCAAGCTGGAGGCTTTTCCCGATTCACGCAGCTGCAGGGGCTGAGGAGCTCAAGGTTGGCAGGCAGTATACTAGCTGTTGACTCCAATGAATGATGAATCCCAGATCTCCAGGCCAGATGGTGGATTGTTCGTTCACAGACAGTTGTAGGCAGCACAACAGACTCCCAATCCACAGGAGAGTGTCTCTTTTCCCAGAATGTCCATAAATATACTAGAAACAGGCCACACCCCTAGGGAAACTCCCTTCCAACAGATTGGCTGCTCAAAACATATACATCTGATCCTATCAGTGGAACAACCCACATCACAATTGCTTAAACCACATAGAATTGTGGTCCAGCCAAGTTGACACACAGCTCCAACTATCACATACCACCACCATCCTCATTGTCTCTAACTTGGACTATTTATTGCATTGTGCTTTTAGATTTTTCCCTTCCTCTAATCTAGACTTTTTAAAATTGAGGACTGTTACCTATAAGTGAGCTATGAAATCAGTTTAATTATGGTGACTAGAATTATTTTTTAAATAGAATAGAAATACCAGAATGCATCTCAGAAAGTAAGGCCAATTTCTTCTTTCAGGTATGTGTACACATGTATACACAGATATACACATATGTCTGTATTGTGTACATATTTTACAGGTAATTATTAAAATGTATATGCTCTGATAGCATAGTGCCTAAGGCACTTGACTGCTAACCAGAAGGCTGGCGGTTCAAACCCACCAGCCACTCCTCAGAAGGAAGGTTGGCCAATCTACTTCCATAGTGATACTGCCTCAGAAACCCAAGGAGAGGTCGTTATGAGTCGGTCCGGCTCGATGACACATAACGACAACAACAACATTTGTTAACTGTAGGTCACAGGAAAATGTGAAGGTCACTACTTTGGCCTAACACTTTCATGTACCTCCCCACCCCCAATTGAAGAAACTAACTTTCAGAATTATTTTTTTAAAATAAAAGTCTGGTCACCTCATTGTCTTCCTTAAGGTCCTTCAAAACCAAAAAACCAAACTCACTGCCATCAAGTCAATTCCAACTCTTAGTGACCCCCACTGGGTTTCCAAGGCTATAAATCTTTACAGAAGTAGATTGCAGCTGGTGGATTTGAACCATTCACCTTCTGGTTAGCACTCAGGTGCCTTACTCACTGCATCACTAGAGCTAACATCCTTCAGCGGCTCCTTTTTGTCTGCAGGAGAGTGTCCACGTTCCGTGGCTTACAAAGCCCCTTCACAACTTGAAGCTGAGCCACCTCATCTGCCATTCTCCCTGCCCTGTCTTCCATTCTTACACCTTGTGCTCCAGCCATATAGCACCTCTCATCCAAACATACCTTACTCCTTACTCCTTCTACCTTGCTGTGCCCACTGCTTGGGATCTATTCTCCATGTGACAGGGTCATCTTTGAAGACTGAGATCAAGTAAAAAATGATTAAGTAAACAAATAGAAAAGAAAATCACCAATGTGAGAAGCCTTTCCCAACTGCCAGATAATCTGACATTCCCTCTTCCTTCTTTGTTGACATGACTACTTTCCTCCATCCTTACTCCTGAGAGCCAAACCCACTGCCACCAAGTTGAGTCCAACTCATAGCAACCCCTATAGGGTTTCCAAGGCTGTAAATCTTTACAGAAATAGATCACTTCATCTTCCTCCTGTGGAGCAACTGGTGGGTTCAAACTACCAACCTCTTGGTTAGTGGCCCAGTGCTTTAACCACAGCACCACCAGAGCTCCTTGTATTGGGTGTTTTTGTGTCCCAGGGTTTAGCAATGGTAGCATAGCATGGCCCAGCATGCCAGCTCAAGTCGTTTAGTCTGTTACACAGTCACAGTTCTTTCTCTTCAACTTTTCAAGCCTGTTTCCTTTTTTAGTAAATCTTGCCATTCATTTATGTACTTTCTAAAATGTCTTTAGATCTCACAAATGGAATTAGAGTGGTTCGTGCAGGATTTTGAAAAAGAAACTAAAAAATGGCAACAGGAGAAAAAGGAAACCCAAGAAAGACTAAAAGCACTGAAGAAGAAAGTCAAAAGGCTTTATGCCAATGAAACGTAAGTAACAACTGAAAGGCAACAATTGTTATTGTTTTTAAGAAAAATATTTGGGGGTGTTTTTTTATTTTAGGGGTTGCTATTTTAATGTTCCTGATAATTATTTTCAAACTATAGCAAGCAAAGTGAGAATCTGTAGATAGTGTTTCTGATACACTTTCACACTGTTTTTAGCTTATTTTAAAACTTACCCATTGGAGAATTATCTCCCTTAAAATTTTTTTTCTAAGCCTACCATGTTTTAAAATAAATTGTATAAATTAATGAGTATAGCATGGGACTGAGAATCAATAAAGAACTGACATCTCTAGTGTTAATACCACCCCTTATTGTGAACACTACTGCCCTTGACCCTCATTTTCTTTATCTATAAAACGAGGGTTAGCCTAGAGCTCAGGTTCTTTCCAGCACTCAGATTCTGTGATGATTGCTTAACTTATAGTTATTTTCATCCTGAATCTTAAAATTACTAAAGTTTGGTCCTATAGTGTGAAGAGTTTGGTAATGCATATAGAACCTGGGTATAACTGTCAAGTGAGCAGTCTTAGTTCTCTAGTGCTGCTATAACAGAAATACCACAAGTGGGGGAGGGTGGCTTTAACAAACAGAAATTTATTTTCTCACATTTTAGGAGGGTAGAAGTCTGAATTCAGGGCACCGGCTCTAGGGGAAGGCTTTCTCTCTCTGTGGGCTCTGGGGAAAGATCCTTGTCTCTTTTCAGCTTCTGTTCCTGGGTTCCTTGGAGATCTTCACATGGTGGCATCTGTCTTCCCCTATCTGTGCTTGCTTGCTTCTGTGCCTAATGTGCTCTTTTTATATCTCAAAAGTGATTGACTTAAACCACACCCTACACTTATTAAGGCCTCATTAACATAACAGAGAAAACTCTGCTCCCGAATGGGATTACATCCACAGGTATAGGGATCAGGATTAAACAACATACAATTTGGGGGACAAATTTCAATCCATAACATTCCACCTGTTGGCCCCCAAAACTCATGTCCTTCCCACATAGAAAACACATTCATTCTATCACATCATCCCAAAAATCTTGTCCCATTCCACCATCAACTCTTAAGTCCAAAAATCTCATCTTCTGAATCATCTGAATCACGTATGACTCTGAGTGTGTTCCATCCTGGGGCAAAATTCCTGTCCATCTGTGACCTTGTGAAATACAGAGTACAAGTTATCTGTTCCCAAAGTACAGTGGTGGCATAAAAGCAAAACACCAAACTCACTTCTATCAAGTTGACTCCAACTCATACCCCTTTGGGTTTCTGAGGCAGTAAATCTTTACGGAAGTAGATTGCCCAGTTTTCCTTCTGCGGAGTGGCTGGTGGGATTGAACCACCAACCTTCTGGTTCGCAGTCAAATGCCTTAGGCACTATGCCACCAGAGCATAGAAATAGACATTTCTATTACAAATTGGAGGAATTGAGATGAGAAGAAGGATTCATGAACATCAAACAAATCCAAAACCCAGCAGAGCAAATTACTTTAGTTCTCAAGTCTTAAAAATAATCCTCTGTTCTTTAGGACCATCTGGGTCCTAGAGGGCCCTGCCCTCTAGACTCTAGGGAGTGGCCATGCTCTCCTGATTGTAGGTAGAGGCCCCTCAGCCCTGGACATGAGCCCCACCTGCCTTTCAGGTCCACTGGGAGAGCAACTCTGCCCCCTCAGCTTTGTGTGGCTCCATTTTCCTAGTCCATCTGAATGGTGACTCCACCAGCCTCAGCCCTGGAGCACCTCTGTTCTACTGATCCTTGGGTATAGCAGGCCCACCCCCTGAGCTCTAGGTGACAAACCCACCCTCTTGGCCCACCTAAATGGCAGCCCCATACTCCAGAACCAAGGTGGTGGAGATCTGATTCTTTGAAACCTAGTTTTCCTACCCTTTGAAATGGCGGTGGTGGTTCCACCCTTTGAAATGGAGGTAGCCCTGTCTGCCATAATCCCTCCCGCCAACAGTTCTACTGATCTCCAAATTTCTCAGGATAGTGCCTTCCTTTTCTTGAAGGACAGCAGACACTGGCAACAAAGTCAGTCTACTGGCCCGTTTCCTGTCCGTAGAATTCCAGAAGTCAGGAACCTTTCCTTCATTTTGTACTGTCTGTCCCTTTCTGCTGCAGTGATTGAATAGATCCATCAGTCACAGGCTTAATCTCTTGAACAAAAGATTGAGTAGCCATGCCCTTGGTAAAAGTTTTTCCAGGATTTTTCCTTAGTTTTTACAACATAGTTTTCCAAATCTTTTAAGTTCCGATTTAATTTTGTACCATTTATTTTTAAGTCTGTCTTTTTTCTCCTGCATTTTACTATACGCAGCAAGGAGAAGTCACACTGCCCATTCAAGATCTTGCTTAGAAATCTCAGCCAAATACCCAAGTTCATCACTTACAAGTTCTACCTTTCACCAAACATTTAAATGTAATTCAGACCAGTTCTTTGCCACTGCATAAGAAGCATCACCTTCCCTCCAGTGTCTAGTCACGTGTTTATCATTTCCTTTTAAAGCCTCACCAGAAGCACATTTAACATCTCCATTGCTAGTAACATTCTGTTCATGGCACTAGAAGCTCTCATCACTGCTCTCAACTCTTTCTGAGCCCTCATCAGAGTTGCCTTTAAAGTCCATAATTTTACCAACAATCTCTTCAAAGCAAACTAGGTCCTTACTATGAAGCACATCAAAATTCCTCCAGCTTCTACCACTAGCGAATTCCAAAACCACTTCCACATTTTAGGTGTCTGTCGGAGCAGCACCGTATTCCCTCTTAGTCTCTTAGTTTGCTATAATAGAAATACCACAGTAGGTGGCTTTAGCAAACACATTTATTTTCTCACATTTCAAGAGGCTAAAAGTCTGAATTCAGGGCACCAGCTCTAGGCTTTCTCTCTCTGTTGGCTCTGGGCAAAGGTCCTTGTCTCTTTTCAGCTTATGTTCCTGGGTTCCTTGGAGATCTTCCTGTGGCGGCATCTGTCTTCCCCATCTGTGCTTGCTTGCTTCTGTGCATAATCTGCTCTTTTTATATCTCTCATACCCTATACTGATATGGCCTCATAAACATAACAAACTAACCCCTATTCCCCAAATGGGATTATGTCCACAGGTATAGGGGTTAGGATTTGCAACACATATTGTTGGGGGACACAATTCAATCCATAACGTGGACCGAGTTTGCTTTATGATCTTCCATGATCCATTCCGGATTCCCTCTCCCTTGAACAGTGATGTGTTGTGTGATTCCTCTGCTGAACTGTATCAGTTACCTACTGCTGAAATTAACTACTGTTTTATTTACTCATGATCCTGCAATCTGGGCTCAGGTTGTCTGGGCAGTTCTGCTGGTCTTGCCAGTGGGTCCCTCGTGAGGCTGCATTCATCTGGCCAGTTGGCTGAGGCCAGGCTCAGCTGGGATGCTGGGGTGGCCATGCCTGTGTTTCTCTCCATGTGGCCTCCAGATGTGACTTTTCTCTATATAATCTCTCTATGTAGTCTCTAGCATGGTAGTCAGACTTCTTATGTGGTGGCTAGGGGCTCCCAAGAATACAGATGTGAAAACTGCCAGGCCTTCTTAAGGTTCAGACCCAGAACTGACACAGCATCACTTCCGCCACATTCTGTTGCTTAAAACAGGTTGCAACTCTGGTTCACATTCAAGAGGTGGAGCCAATACAAAGGCATGAATAACGGGAGACATGGCTCATTGGGGGCTACACAGCCACACTCACCTTTCAAGGACATTTGTGTTTTTTTCCTGTCACTGGGCCGAAAGGTCAGTTGACTTTGAGTCTTGCCAGGATTACATTTGGGGAACTTGTAGGCAGTCATTAGGAGAATGAGAGAATACACAAATACTCTTGGTATATTCACTCCCTGTGGCATGTCATTTTGATCATGCTCTAAGTAGACAGTTATGGAAACTACAGTGTCTGTAAAGCTCTGTACCTCTTAGTATTTGAGCTTGTCTAGTCTTAATCATTTAAAGATATTTAAAAATGCAGGGTTAGTTATACTTAATATATATTTTCTATATGCTCAACTCAGAAGAAAATTTTTTTCTGTGCTAGCATAAAAATTAGGCTGAAGTATAAACTCTTACGATTTTTTTTCACTTTATTACTATGTTTCTTTGCTTCCTTCTGTCACAATTTAAAGATAAGCCATTGGCTTTTCTCTGTTTCCTGCACTTTCCAAATAAATGCTTTAAAGCTAAAATTTTACATTTAAATTTTTAAGTAAAATCTTAAAATGTTTTGGAACTCTTAGAAAAACACAAAGAATATGAGGAATGATTTCTTTGATGTTTCTACCCTTAAATCACACTTAGTATTCATTAAGAAATGAATAGGACATAAAGATCTCATGACTGGTAGGATGATACAGAGCACAGAAAAGTATGAAGGAAGGCAGGATTCCATGAAGAGAGCCATGCAGTATTGAGTATTTAGAGGAAGGAGGAAATAAATGTTTTATGGAAGAAGTAAAATGGCATCTAAACTTGCTCCTAAGTTTCCAGCAATGGAAACTTAAAGATTTTAGCAAGTGGAGATGACTCTGACAAGGCATTCCAGGTTAGCATGGCAGAAGAGTCAGTGCCAGTCTTCCAGTGCCAGAGGTTGTTTAAGAATCAAAGATTTACATACTTTAAGGTGTTGACAAGAGTTTCCATGTGTGTTTTAAGTTGACTTTAAGTTCTCATTTTGAATGAGAACCACTGGTTATGCCAATGACTGAGATGGTCCCCCATAACACCTGAATTCTCTGTCTCAAGTTGTAACCATCTTGAGACACACTCCATGAAGAGGGCTGGGATAGGATGATTTACAGTGTAAGCATGCGACTTAGAGGGAAGAAAAAGATGATGTGTCCTCCAGGTATAAGGGAAACTTGCATGTATATTCCAAGAAAATGACCCAAAATTATTTGCCTCTTTAGATAATACTAGAAATGAAGCAAAATGTAGAAACTTATAAAGCATTTAAGAATTGTTTGCATGGATATGGGTGGAATTCACTGTGGGATCATGTTTGAAAACAATCTTTGAAATTTAATTAAAATTTGGTGATTATGGTTTTATAGGTGTACCCAGAAAAATGATGAAAAGGATGAGGAACATGGATTACATCTGGATGAGTCCCTTGAAATCAGGCAAATTAAGCTTAAATTAATTTTTAATATCTTACTATATTTTTAATACCATAGGCACAAGCACACTAGGTTCTATATATATAAATATATTGCTGCTTTTCTGTTAATTTTAAAGAATTATGTGGGCAGGTTTCTATTTTCTTAAAATATTTTTTTAATTTTACAAGGTTCCTGCTTTTATGTCACATTCTCAGTATAAAAAATCCTGAACTTATTATTGTCTATATTACTCATTTTTATTTTTTTCTTAAATTAACTTGAAACTAAAATGTGTTTAAAAAACTTTTTCTTTTGTGTTACTTAAAATAAGAGTCTTACTCTACAATGATAGTTTGTCTTATTATTGCTCTACAATTACAGGTTCATTAAATAATTTTTATTATGAACCTATAAGTTTCAGTTCAACTTTTATTAATGGAAATAATATGTTTTCACATACTGGTAACCAGTATATTCCGTGTTAAGCAGTTGTATTGTTTTTTTCACTTAATATCGTCCCATATACACATTTCCAGTGAGCCCCTGGGTGGTGTGTACGGTTAAGCAGTCAACTACTAGCCAAAAAGCTTGACAGCTCGAACCCACCCAGAGGCACCTCGGAAGATAGACCTGGCAGTCTGCTTCCGAAAGGTCACAGCCTTGAAACCCCTATCGAGCAGTTCTTCTCTGCACATGTGGGGTCACCAAGAGTTGAAATTGACTCAAGGGCAACTAACAATATCATAGACATTTCCATTCACATCACGGCCTATGGCTGCCTTTTTTTAACCACCCCTCTATTGAACATTTTGTTTTATTTCCACTTTTTAACTTTTTATAAAAGTGTTGCTATAGACAACTTTCTAGAGCTTATTTTTTTTTTTTCTTTGGATTATTTCCTTGTAGTATGCATCAAAATAGAATTACTGGGTTGAAAGAGGAGGGTTGCTTTATATAAGTTTATTAATGTAGTCAGATCACACTCCACCACCCTTTCAAAGAAGTGAACCAGTACTGGGCCCTCGCCTGTTTCTCGGCACTCCCACCATATACTCACTTTCTTCCTCTGATCACTGCTAGAGCAAAGTGCACCTGTGAGTCTGTGTGCTGTATGGTAAAATATTAGGCATGGAGTTACTCTACCAGATGTTATGTAAGGCATTTTGGGCATGATTCCAAAGCTATCCTGGCTTCAGCCTTTATAATCTCATGGGTTGAATTATTTTTAAGAAGTTTTTTTGTTTTTCTTTAATGTTTCCAGAAATGCATTTGCAAATGAGAAAGCAAAACTAGAAGAAAGCATCAGAAAAGGACAAGAGAATTATGAAGAGGTCCGTGAAAGATTCATAGATGCAGAGGTAAGTCCCAGGCTTGGTGCTCATGGCACTTGGAGACTGACAGCGTTGCAGGATATCATTTGTTTCTTTAATTTACTCCTGAGGTGTCACAGCAGTGCTGAATAGTATGGAGGTAAGAACTGTCTTTTCACCTGTAATCTGGCCTCCAGAAAAACCACCATTCTTTTTTCTTGCCTATAATTTTTTTTGGAGTACCCAGGTAGTACAAATGGGTAAGCTCTCAACTGCTAGCTGAAAGGTGGCAGTTTCAATGCACCCAAAGGCACCTAGAAGACAGGCCTGGCTATTTCAAAGTCACAGCCTCGAAAGCCATGTGGAGTAGTTCTCCTTTGCATATGTGGGGTTGCTGCCATGAATTGGAATCACCTCAACAGCAGCTAACAAAAATGCACATTTTAATTTATCCTTATACTTATGTTGTGACATATATGTTCTCATAGTGTACATCAAATTTCATAACCCACTTTCCTTATTTAACAATATGATTTAAAGATTTCTAGTGGAACTCAAGACTGTGGCCCTTAGACACCCTTTAAGCTACATACTAAGCTTAACTGCCATGACTTACCTAGCAGCCAAACGATAGATCTCTAAAGTGAATAGTAACATCAGGAGGGTATGCACTCATCCCAGCAATATGAGATCAACAGCATTTGCCCAGGGATAGAACTAGAAAGGTGGGAGGGGATGGGAAGGAAGAACCAAAGGAAGGGGTGGGCGTTGGGAGGAAGTGGGAAGAATGGTATTGCAGTGTGGGGACTGCAATAAATGTCATAAAACAGAATGTATAGATTGTTGAATGGAAAACCGATTTGCTCTGTGTAAGAAAAAATATTTAAAGATTTCTCATACTTCTTTGAATGGCTACATCATATTCAATGAACCATGTACCATGAAATAAAACATATTTCACAGTACTTGAAAATAGTCTCCTTACCAAGAATATACTCCACTCCCACTCTTGCCACCCTCCCCCCAAAAAAAGAACACATACCAATGTCAGTATACTATTTGAGAAACTACTGAGACAAAAACCAAAATAATGAGATCTGCTTATATTATAATTATACATATTTAGTCCTTAAAATATGGTTGTATGTGGTATTCTAATTGAGGAATAAATAGTATTTATTGGTATGTATGTCTTTAGTATTCTGAGAAAATAAGAAAAGGCTTAGTTTATGTTGTTGTTGTTAGGTGCCGTGGAGTCAGATCCAACTCTTAGTGACCCCTCCTCGAGTTTCCAAGGCAGTATCACTATGGAAGTAGATTGCCCAAGCTTACTTCCAAGGAGTGGCTGGTGGGTTTGAACCGCCAGCCTTCTGGTTAGCAGTCAAGTGCCTTAGGCACTTCACTACCAGAGCTCCGTGTAATCTCATAAAATGTGAGGCCTTTCTGTCACTTAGAAATAATGATTGATCATGCAGCTGCTTCTAAGGAGAATAAGGAAAATAATTACCAAAGACCCTGTCTTAGTTCTCTAGCCTGCTGTAACAGATAACACAAGTGGGTAGCTTTAATGAACAGAAATTTAGTGTCACATTTTAGGAGGCTGGAAGTCCAAATTTAGGGCATCAGCTCTAGAGGAAGGCTTTCCCTCTCTGTGTCGGCTCTGGAGGAAAGTCCTTGTCTCTTCAGCTTCTGCTTCCTGATTCCTTGGAGATCTCTGTGTGGCTTGACATCTGTCTTACCTCACTTCTGCTCACTCGCTTACTTGTTTAATCTCCTATGTGTCTCAAAAGAGATTGATTTAAGACACTCCTTCATTAATCCTGTCTCATTCAGATAACAAAGACAGTCCATTCCCAAATGGGAGTATAACCATAGGCATAGGCTTTAGCTCTACTTTCTAAGGCCACTGGGACAGCAAATCTGTTCCTTCTGCTCTGGGTGACTCCGTTCTCCTAGTCCATCTGCATAACAACTCCACCCTATCGGCCCTCACAGGCCCTGTTCTTCTGCCCCTTGGTATGGCAGCCCAGCTCCCTCAGCTTTGGCCAGTTGCCCCATCCCCTCAGGAACAATGATGAAGACCTGATTCTGAAACCTAGAAAGCTCTGGCCTCTAACCTTTGAGATCCAGGAGACCACAGCCCTACTCTTTGTAACTGAAAAGGCCCTGCTTCCCATGCTCCTTCCAACAGTTCTGCTAATCTCTGAGCTGCTGTAGGGATGGTCCTTTTCCTTTCTGGGAGAACAACAGATGTAGCTCCTTTGGCCTGTTTCCTGCCTGTAGAATTTCAAGAGATAGACAGCATTCTTTCTTCCTTTCTTTCTCTGTCCCCTTCAAAAAAAGCTCATGGGTTTTCTGCTGTGGTAGTTGGTTAGATCCATCAGTCATACACTTCTTTAACAAAAAATTGTGTAGCCCAGTCCTTGGTGAATGTTCTAGGGCACTGTGGTAGTTAAGTTTGTGGGTCAACTTCTCTAGGCCTGGTTGAGTGGTTGGGCAGCTGGATATAGTTATTCTCCATCTTGAGATTGGTAATTAACTCCATGGTGGAATCTATTGGAGCAGCTAAGTAGCTGCTTTAGGGATGCGGTCTGCTTTCAGTATAAAAGAAGCAACTTTGAGGAAGGTCTTCAGCTTATGGCACACTTGAACCCTGCATGTAGCCAAGTTGTTTTTCAACAACCTGCCATGCCCTCCTGATCTTGGGACTTCTTCTGGAGTTAATTAGTGGCCTGCCATGTTGTTTGGTAACATTGGGACTGTGCCTTTTTACTTATCAACCTTGGGCTTGGAAGCCTCAGCAGCCAGCAGCTGCCTGAGTAAAAAAAAGTCTCCAGCTTCAGTGGGCCAGGATCAGGAGGCAGAGCTGAAGCCCAGGGTTGAGGGGCTTTCATCCAGCCCCTAGAGCCTGGCACTTTGAACTCGGACTTAAAGCCGCTATAATTGTAAGAGAATACACTCCTGTTTGCTCAAGCCATCCCATTTGTGGTAATTCCTGTTAGAGCAGCACTAGGTAAACAAAACAGGTACACATCCTTAGTACAACAGAATTTTCCAAATCTTTTAAGTTCTGTTCTCAATTGGCACAGTTCATTTTTAAGTCCATCTCTTTTCTCCCACCTTTACTATAAGTGGTAAGGAGAAAGCATGTGAACCCTCTAAGATCTTGCTTAGAAATCTCCTCAGTCAACATCCACGTTCATCACTTACAAGTTCTACCTTCCACCAAACATTTGAACATAATTCAGACAAATTCTTCCTTTGCTACTGCATAAAAAGCATCACCTTCCCTCCATTGTCCAATCACATGTTCATTATTTTCTTTTAAAGCCTCATCAGAAGCACATTAAATGTCCTCATTTCTATCAGCTTTCTTTTGTTGGCACTGTATGTGTTCTCTAAGACAATAGAAACTTTATCTATAGCTCTCCTCAGTTCTTTCTGAGCCCTCACCAGAATTGCCTTTCATGTCCTTAAGTCTACCAATGTTTCTTCAAGGCAATCTAGGCTTTTACTATTTAAAAAAAAAGAAAAAGAAACCCACTGCCATAGAGGTGATTCTGATTCATAATGACACTGTATGATAGAGTGGAACTGCCCTGTAGGGTTTCCAAGGCCATAAATCTTTTTGGTGGGTTTGAACTGCCTTATCTTTCTGCTATGGAGTGGTTAGTGGGTTCAAACTACTGACTTTTTTTTAGCAGCCAAATGCTTACTGTCTGTGCTACCAGTACTCCTTTTACTCTTAGTTACTTTGAAACTCTTCCAGCCTCCACCCAATTCCAAAACCTCTTCCACGTTATAGGTATCTGTTGGAGCAGAACTCTCACTTCTATCTTAGTTATCTAATGCTGCTATCACGGAAATACTTCAAGCAGATGGCTTTAACAAACAAACATATTTTCTCACAGGAGGCTAGACATCCGAATTCAGGGAGCCAGATCTAGGGGGATGCTTTCAGCTCTGGAGGAAGGTCCTTGTGTCTCTGAGCTGTTGCTCCTGGGCATTCTTTCTGTAGTTTGACATCTCGCTTTCCCCATCTTTGCTCACTGACTTGCTTGTTTAATCTCTTATATCTCAAAAGAGATACACTTTGCATTAATCCTATCTCATTAATATAACAAAGACCATTCCCAAATGGGATTACAACCACAAGCATAGAGGTTAAGATTTACAACACATGTTTTTGGAGGACTCTACTCAATGCATAGGAGCTTTGGTAGCATAGTGCCTAAGGCATTTGACTGCTAACTAGAGGGCTGGCAGTTCAAACCCACCAGCCACTCCTCAGAAGTAAGGTTGGGCAATCTACTGCCGTAATGATACCACCTTGGAAACCAAAGGAGGGGTGGCTGTGAGTCCAATGCAACTGGAGGTCACATAACAACAACAACTCAATCCATAATGCCTTGTCTGTTTCAGCTTTTTTCCTTTGGTGATCTCATTATCTCATGGCACCTCTCCATTTATGCTTGATTCTGTGCCTAATCTGCTTTTTTACATCTCAAAACTGATTAAGACTAACCCTGTACTGATAAGGGCTCATTAACGTAACAGTGAAAACTCTGCTCCCAGGTGGCATTACAATCACATGTATGTGTTAGTTGCCCTCAAGATGATTGACCCTTGCAGTGTGCAAAGTAGAACTGCTGCTGCTGAAGATTTTCAAGGCTGTGACCTTTTAAAAAACAGATCACCAGGCCTGCCTTCCAAGGCGCCTCTGGGTGGGTTTGAACTGCCAACTTTTCAGCTGGTAGTCAAGCACTTTAACCGTTTATGCCACCCAGGGACTCCTAACCACATGTATTAAAAACCAAAACCAAACTCACTGCCATCAAGTGAATTCTGATTCATCGTGACCCCCATTGGGTTTCCAAGGCTATAAATTTTTACAGAAGCAGACTGACTGCCTCATCTTTCTTCCACAGAATGGCTAGTGGGTTTAAACCACCAGACTTTTGGTGAGCACCCAAATGCCTTAACCACTACACCACCAGAGCTCCTTAACCACATGCATAGTGGTTAGGATTTAAAACACTGTTTTTGGGAGGCTCAGTTCAATCCTTTATAGTGCGGGTACTCTGTGAATCTTACACCCATATTTATACTTGAGTTTCTGTTGATCACCTCACTGCCTTGAGGGTCCTGCCAAGGTGACTGACAACTGGATTAAAACCAGGCCCTTCTACATTTCCTGCAGTGATTCTCACAGTGGTGCTTAGTCAGCTCTTGGGTAAGCCAGAGCTAATGTTTTATTAAAATTATGCCCCAGAGGCTTTTGAAACTAAGAATAAGTATAGCCTCATACTTATTTGACAGCCCCTCCACTTGCCCTGGGCAGGACCATAGATACAGGCAGCTGGTAGCCAGGCTCTCGGCTTGTCTGTGGCTGAAGCAGAGAGCCCCGGGAAAGTTTCGCATCTGAGCAAAGTTTCATTGAAGGCATCTATTTTAGTGTCTTTCTGTTTGTCTGTTTACAAGCCCAAATGTTTTCATTAATGTTCACTTGGATGGAATTACAGCACAAGCAGGTTCTGATAATTGTCATCATATGTCATTAAGGAATGACTAGTTCAGAATATTTAAGTTTTAACTTTAGCAAAGGAGCCCTGGTTGATTAATGGTTAAGCACTTGGCTACTAATTAAAAGGTTGTTGGTCATTCACATCCACCAGCATGTGTGATGGAGAAAAGCCTAATGATCTGCACCTATGAATCGGAACTGACTTGATATATCCAAAAACAACAATCCTTAACATAGTTTCAGTTTTTTGCTTTAAAAATACTTAAAATGTCCTTTAATCTAATGGCAGGTATCTATACTTATATGCTGGAAGGAGATTCACGAGTGGAAATTACAGGTCATGAAAGCACAAGGAGAAGGCTATGTTACGTGCCTAAGAGATAGGCGCAGGTACTGTGTGACTTACGTGTGTTTCCCAGTTTGTCATGTAGTAAACGAAAGTTATTACTGGTTTTAGAAAAATAATTTTACATCAGGACTGTTTTATTTTTAAAAGTTACACAGTAGATACTTACTCAGTTGTAGAAAAATCAGAACAGACCAACAAAAATGATAACAATTATGCCTAATTCTAACTTAAGAGATAACTGGTTAATATTTTTGAATAAGCTCATTAAATATTGGAGAAAACAAAATTCTGTCGATGTGTAAGTATTTTTCACTGAAGAGAATAAAAGGAACTTCCTTTCATATGGACCATTACATTTCTCCAACCTAATTGTGAAAGGTTGAGTAGAATTCTGTCATACAGATGTGCTGTGATTTATCCACCACAACTAGTTTAGACTAGAGAGTTGGTTGAATTATTTGCAAATTTTTGCGAATGTCAGATGCTCTGAAGTGAGCAGCCTTGTAGCTAAATCCCTATATGTGTTATTATTTCTGTACAATAAATTTCTGGAATGAATGTCACATTTTTAAGGCTTGTTAAACATTTTGCCCAATTTTTTTCCATAATAGCTCTTACTTACAATCTTAATGGCCAAGTATGAGAATGTCACTATGAAGGATATTCATGGATGTTATTTTTTTTTTTTTTTAACTCTGACTAATTTTTTTGTTTGTTTTGGTTTTTAGAATGAGGTTTGCCTGGGAACCCTAGAGGATCTTCTTCAGACTAGCTTTTAGTACTTTTTTACATGGGATTTATACTTTTTTTTTTTTAATCATGTTCTGCACACAGGTTTTGACTTCTTAATTCCAAACGTTTCATCTTTCTAAGTGGGTTTTATTCATATTTCAAACCCTTGGTGTTGAGCCATAGAGTGCATGGTAATGGAAAAACAGTTTTAGTATATAGTTACTTCTTTATTTTCAAGATTGAATGTTTTTCACATAAGAAAATCTTTCTGATTAAAGCTAAACTAGTATGCCAGTTCAGGTTACAGAATTAGCTGCTCAAATACCTGTCTCAGGCATTCCCCATTAGAATGTGCATGGGACGCAACTGGGAAACAGCTCTCAGGCCTCATTTTATCTTAATAGCATCAACCTCCTCCCATGAAGCTTCATAGCACAGGAGGCTTCTTTCCGGGGATGCTCTGCTAACTGCCCCATCCCACCAAAGGATAGCAAAAGGAGAAAAGAGGTAAAAAGCAGAGTCTAGCATCTATATGTGTAATGAGAACTGATTCATCAAGAATTGGGAGTCTTATTGATCTTCTCAAGTAGGAATTAAAATCTTTCCTGTTCCTTTCAATGTATAAGTTTAATGGGTGCTAGATCATAAATTTATCTCAATTTAGAGGCCTTACTCTCTATTTTTGCAGTCAAGTGGAGACTGGGATTTTATTGGAGTATTTTCAAAGTTCCAGGCTACTATTTATTTCATTTTAATTTGTTGTTTTGCTCTTAATGTAAAGGCAGCCATTAATGTTAAACATAAAGATGTCAAATAAAGAACAGTCAGATTTTCCAATTTTGGGTTAGAAATTAAAATTCAGGAGAACATTTGCTCTTTGCTCACCAGTTTTGGGGTTTGGGTCATAGCAATAATTAAAATTTCCTAAAGTGGTGAGTTTGAAAGATGCAAACTAATTCTTGAAAACAAATTATTTAAAAATAGTTTTCATTTTGTGATCTTTGTAAAAGTATCTTTTTCATGTTTCATATGTACTTGAGTGCTTTTAATTTTTAAAGTAAGTATTAAGCAGTTTCATAATTTTATGCTTTTTTTCAGTGAGTTTGAACCATCTATAGTGGAAGCTGTCTTACATGAATGGGAATTACATTTCTCTTGGATTGAAGAAGAACTTGACACTGTAGATGTAAGTTATAAAATAAAATATTTTATAATCTGTCAATATGTATGTGATGGTTATGACTGTTAGGAGGCCACCAGTATCAGGCTGAAATATGCTTCTTTTTTGAACTATTAATAGCAATATATGTTTCATATTGAAATTATTCAGCATTTTCATTAATGATATTTTCTTGATACATAAGTTACCTTGAACTCTGCCCCTGATGGATAAGGTTAGAGAAGTTAGGTTTGATAAGGCTATAAGATCTTCTGAATAACTATGTTTTATTTTGAACTTATCTTAAATAATTGTTTTAATACCTCATATCTCAGGTTATGTTTCCTGAGCAGTTGTTGAACATTTAAACTGTATATTAAGAAAACAAAGTATAAATTGACAGTAGAGGTTTCCCTTGGGAATTTAACGCTCTTCCTTCTACCTGCAGTCCCGGTTGGAAGAAAAACTTGAAGAGGCTAAAAGTGGTTCTCCGGTCATTGAAATTAACAGAATGCTTTCCCTTCCAGCCTTTGACAAGGTAAGTCTGTCACACTTCTACTTTTTTTTCTTTTTCTTTTTGAAGGAAAGAAAACAGAAAATGATTTTTCTTTTTTAACTGGCCGAAGTGGTTGCTTGTTATTGTTGTTGTTTTCTGGAATGGGGATTTAATGGATTAACAAATACCTTATTGTTCTGCATATCTGTGCTGCTGGTTAGTTTTTCAAGCTCCGTAACATAACTCATGTAAGTAGGAAGTCAGTCACTCTCCATCTATGTGTGGGGAAGGGGTGATGGCTAACAAACTCATGATACTCGTTTCTATCGTTTTCATACTCCAAAGCCTATCTTCTTTCTTTTCTGGGTGCTGGTGTATGTGTGTGTGTTTTCTCCTCCATTTGAGCTCATCTTGCTTGACATGCAAATGATTCAGGTAGGCCCTCTCTACTGATACTGCCTCAGATACCCAAGGGCATAAGACTAAAATCTAAAAATTAACATCTGTCTCTTCATCAAACACAGAATAAAAACTGCCGTGCCTGGGACACGCAAGGGCTCTGCTGGTCTGGCATATAACATTTTACTGGTAGTTTGAGGTATTCTGGTGAATATTTTGAATAATAGTGATTATGAAACCTTATGTTATATTTTTAAATATGCAACGCAATAAAGAAAAGCATTGCTGAATATTTTGTGGCCTTTAAACTGTGGCTAAGCCAAGTATCACTTTATTACATTTTGGAATACATTATTTCTTAGATTTTAACACAGAGTAGAAGCTCAGTGAGTATTAAATTGAAATTTATTAAGTCCAAAGGAGATCAGACTGTAAGAATTTAAGAAGGACTCTAATCAAGAGATGATTAGAGATAGGTTCCAGAATGTTTTGGTGCTACACTGAGATCTTCTAGTTCCTTAAGCCCAAGCCACCCTGTGTCTCTGGCATCTGCTTTGTGCCTTCCTGTTCCTGCCAGACCTTTGCCTAGACTATTCCCTAGCCTCAAACACTGGTCCCCACTCTGAATTCTGCCTGCGTTTGGAGTCCCTTCAGGGTTTGCCCTTTCCCTGTGGCCCTTCTGTTATGTGTGTTCTGTCTCCTTAACTTAGATGGCAGGATCCCTGCAGTCAGAAACCTACTCTTGATCACCTTTTTCTCTCTAGCACCTTGCACATTAAGCATTCAGCAAGTTAGGAATTCATCTGCAAAAACAAAAAATAATAATAATAATAAAATTTTTTAAGTGCAAAAGTTTGGTCATCTTAAACAGGATAACAAATAGTATTTCAATTAGATTTAAATTAAAAGTTACTTCTCATTTACAGATTTTTCCAAGTGCTTATAATAGATATGGAAAGAAAAAACCTTGGAGCTGAATAGAATATTTTCCTTTTAATTTGTAATTCTAGAATTTTAATATCCAAAATCCTAGGGAACTTTTAGTGTGCCAGTACTTGAGTAATAAATGTCTCTGAAAACATTTACTTTGTGTTTCATTTCTCCCTCATTCATTCCTTGGGTATTCATTGGTGACCAGATGTGGCCTGTGTCCTCAAGGTGCGTATGGTCTTGGGAGAAGACAGACTTTAAACTCCCAATTACAAGCAATGTGCAGTGAGGTTGTTCATAGGAGCATGGAAGGCCATAGCAGCCTAACCTGATCTAAAGCTCTGGGTCTCTCAGTGAGTCAGAGGTCTGAAATAGGAGTGAACCAGAAAAGGCGTGAGTGTGTGCTTGAGGAGGAGGGGGATGTCGTGATGTGTTTCTCATGTTCCACATTGAGAAACAGTGTGTTCAGAGGCTAGGAAACATGGTTTGCAGATCTAAAAGAAGTTCACTGTGACAAAGGGAGGGCTATAGTGAAAAACATGATGGAAGTGTACCCATGGACCAGAACCAGGGAACCTCTTCTGTAAGTTTTAAGCTTGGACTTTTTCTTCAGGCACTAAGAAGCTAGTATAAGTATCAGGTGAGGAATAAGCTCAGATTTATATTTTATGAAGATTGTCTTAACTGCATTGTGAAGAATTGATGGTCAGGGAATGAGTGACTTGTGGCCAACCAGTTTCTGCTCACAGCTGTCAACCACGTCCAGATATGGGAGTGACAGTGGAGGTGTAAAAGAAACAGAAGTTTGAGTATTTAGCAAGTGCCAATGAAAGAACTTATGCTGCTCATTGGATTGGGGCACAGGGTATGTATGCCTGAGAAGTCATGGATGAATCGCAGCTTTGGCCCAGCATGTCAGTGAGGTGGGCACTAGAGACAAAGCAGGGTTGAGGAGATCATGGGGAGGCTGGTTTTAAACACATCGACTTTGAGTTGTTTTGGAGTCATCGTAGTGGATTTACCCATTAGGAAGTCTAGGTGTGCAGAGTTGTATCTCAGAAAAATATTGTAGACTGAGAACTTTAAAGAAGTGGGCATTGTCAGCAGTGAGCCCATGAGGGAATTTGGAATGGCCTGGGAGAGGTGTGTGGAGTAAGGTGGATATTTCGTCTCTGGCAGCAGCTGGGGCCCATCAAGGCCTAAAGTGCAGACAGTGGGGAGAAGACTGCCCAGGAGAGCTGAGAAGCCTCCAGGGAGGTGGACGGGAAGCCACAATTTAAAGCCAGGGAGGAGCATGCTTTGAATAAGAGAATGCTACCAGCAATGTCTAGGAGTCTGTTGGCTTAGTGGGTTGGAGGTTGTTGGTGACCTTGGCAGGGGCAGTTTTGAGAGTGTTGGGATAGCTGTTTTTGATGAGTGAGTAACAGTGTTTAACTGGGAAGGGGAGAAGTGAAGTGAAGGGTGGAAGCTGGAGAAGGACAGGTGGGTGGGTAATATATAAGGCAGTGTTAAACATTGTACGTAGAAAATAATGAATTATAGAGAGTAGTGTTTAGAAATTAGAATCTTACTTTTGTCCTAATAACTTATGTTTATGGTTAGTCATTTTTAAAAAAACAAAAACTTAAATTGATTGTAGTCACGTTTCCTATGCATTTTGAATGTTAACAGCTTTTACTAGCAAATCAGTCACCTTTGATTGAGTCAGCTCCAACTCATGGCAACCCCTTGTGTTGCAGAGTAGAACTGTGCTCCACAGGGTTTTCATTGGCTGACTTTTTGAAATTAGACCACCAGGCCTTTTACTGTGTTCTTGTTGTTGTTGTTATGTGCCATCGAGTCAGACCCAACTCATAGCAACCCCTCCTTGGGTTTCCAAAGCTGTATCACTACGGAAGTAGATTGCCCAATCTTCCTTCCGAGGAGTGGCTGGTGGGTATGAACTGCCAGCCTTCTGGTTAGCAGTCAAGTGCCTTAGGCACTACCAGAGCTCCTGCCTTTTAATATAGTGGTGCTTAATAGTCAGTCTTTGTCCCTTGGTGATTGTCTTCATAATTCAAGGCAAGCCCTCTCTAAACAGTACAACTACTGTGATGTGTCTCTCACAGTACCGACCTGAGTCCTCAGGCCCTGATGGAAAGGAGGCAGAAGTTCACAAGGATGCCAGTGCTTGCCCAGAGAAGGCTCCTGCAGAGCAGTCTGAAGTTGCCCGGCTGTTGGCGTGTGCTAAGAAGGCTGTCCAGGAAGCTCAGTCAAAGCAAAGACCCGTGGCTGATCAGAAACCACCTTGTCCTCAAGGACGTGCCGCTCGGTCAAACCAGTCTGTGAAGAAGCCATTCAATAGTATCATTGAGCACCTGGCAGCAGTATTCCCATGCTACAACAGGTACGACTAGAAAATGCCTCTGACACCATTAAATACTCTACTGAACTCATCTCCTGATCAGATAAAACGTAACCAGTTAGAGGCTGAAATAGAAAGGATTGCATAATTGTTTCATTCAGACAAGTGCAATGTTTCATTTCTTTTTTGTAAACATTTACAAAATAGTGAGCATTTTCAAATACAGTTTTAATGTGCACATCCACATTTTCAAAACTGAACACTGATTAATTGACACCCCTCAAAACCCACAGCAGCTGGCCAAGATTTTGATTATAGATCCTCTAACACTTTCCAACACTGGCTGTAAGGGAATCAGTAAATGACTTCATAACAATAATTTCATGCCATTTTGGGGGCAAAAATATCATATACAGCAAAGAAGGGAGCATCATCTTCCACCCTCTCATTGGACAGTACATGTGATTCCTTAGAGGTATGAGATTGAAAAGACGAGGCACTACTCAATCATGTGATAGATGCGTGGGCATGTTAAAAAGGAATTCTTGTAAAGGTGAGGAAGAGCGGCTTTTATAAGAACTGTAAATTGGGTTGAGGGTAGTGGCAGGCCTCTGGCCTCTGCTGTCCAGGTTGGTGTAAGGAGAACAGAAACACTCCTTATCTCAGTCAGAGGAGAAGGTGAGGTGGAGGGGGGATGGCTCTCCCTGGTCCAACTCAGCAGAGAGACATTCACATCCAGGAATGACCCTCACACACCCATGTTGTCTCTGACTCCCATACATTGTTAATTATAGGCCTTGAGCTTGTACTTTGTAAAAACGAAGTAGTTTTTAAAACATGATTGGCCAGAATTCATATCTTACACCAATAGGTGGAGCCCTGCCCATTTGCAAATAAGTGTATGTTGCCTGCACATGGGCATATTTTAGGAGCTCTGGTGTCCTAAGGCATTTGACTGCTAACTAGAAGGTGGTTCAAACCCACCAGCCACTCCTCGGAAGGAAGACTGGGGCAATCTACTTCTGTAGCAATACTGCCTCAGAAACCCAAGGAGGGGTCGCTATGAGTTGGAATCAACTCGTGGGCAGTGAGTTTGGTTTTGGTTATTGGAAATTTGAGACACATTTTAAGTTCTCTCAGTAGCAGTTGTCATACCATTTATAAAAACAGTCACGTAATTATCAGAAGTACCTTAAAAGTAAAATTGTTTACAGTCTTAACTAAATTGGTCAGAGTTTAAACAAGCAAATTAGAAATACATCCTAATTTTCTGCATGTTAAGACATTTGAGATGTTGTTGGTAAAAACAAGTACCTATTAAGTAATGATGCAGCCCCCAATCCACAGCACTTGTGAAATATTTAGGCTTTGAAAACCATGTTGTTGGTTAGATTTTTCAAGGGAAGAAGTCAGTAAAATGAGCTTCCTCATTGTGGAAGGTGGTTTCATTTTAATTAGGAACAAATTGGGTGTGATGGTTCAATGATTCCTGCACAAGACTGGGATGCAGGCAGTCTGTGAAGTCCGTTTTCTAATTACAGATCGCTATGGGTCGGGTCCAACTCGATGACAAACAACAACAATCCCAAATGGCTCTGCCAAATTTACTGTTACTTTGAAATTTGTCTAACTAGTTGGGAATATGAGCCTACTTTTAAATGGTTCTGCTTCTTTAATGAAATTAGTATTATAGTTGTGTAGTCTAGTTTTGTTTATTTATTATTTTTGTTCCTTTTAGCTATTGGGTTAATATTGGTACGTCATGTTTCTCAGCAGTGGAAAACTGGGTTCCTGTTGTCATTTGTCACCACTTTTCTTTTTCAGCTCTGAGCTTGCTGGGTTTGTTAAAAAAGTGCGAACCAAGAGCTCCCTTTTAGGGCTGAGTATTGATGAAACTGTCGGGAGAGTCATAGAGCACATCCTAGCTGAACAGAAGAAGAAGAAGGTCAGTGTTTCACCCGGACACCAAACGATGTTCCACTTTATCCTTGTCTATTTGTAAAAAATAAGAATTGTTGTTTGTTTCTCATTTTTAAAAAAAAAACAAAAAACTTATTTTAAACCAAAATGTAGAAAGCAACGTATTAAAGATAGAAGATGGTGAAGTCTTTTCAGTAACTGAACTGTGTGCTGTCACCATCCCCCATTGTCTCTGTAGTCAAATCCAGGGGCAGATCAGGGGACCTCCGAGCCCAGCTCTTCTGCTCCTGTGACCAAGTCCTCGTGGAACCAGCCCTCAGCGCCTCCTGGAACATCACCCAAAACCCACGGCCAGAAACCAGAAGATAGGAGAATGGTCTGTGTGATAGTATAGTTATTCTTGTCTTTGTGCTTTATTTATTTTTTTAACAAAGAATGCTTGGATTAATTTCTTTAAGAAGGATCAGCACAAGGTTGGTCCCTATGAGGCAGAGGTTAAAGATGTCTCAAATGTCTAACTTTTCCAGACTGCTGTACCACTTCATCATCTCTATCATCAACTCCTCCTCCTCCCCTCAGTACTCTCCCTCCCGTCTTAGGGTTCTATATTTCGCTATAACGTCTCGCAGAACTCTTGAGCTGCTGGGGAAATGGCTTATGCGGTGTGGAGGCTGGCACATTCCAAATCCATGGGTCAGGCATCGGTCTGGAAGATTCTTCTCATTCACGTGGTTGCAGGGGCTGAAGAACCGAAATTGACAGGTCAGATGACTGCCTGCTGTCTCAGGCCCCAGTAGCTGGGGTGAAATGATGACGAATCAGATGCAGGATCCAGAGCGAGAGAGTGAACTTTGCCAGAGCGTTCACATATATGTCCTCGAGGAAACTAAGGGTGGTGACTTGAGTCACACCCTGTAGGAAGGCGGGACTCAAGATACATCCCACCTAAATCCTGCCTCAGTAACATAATGGAGAGCTCACCCCAAAATTGTGGTTTACAATACATCACAAAATAGAGGACTGTGGCTAGAAGGGCCATATTAAGTAATTCACTGCACTGCAGAGAACAAGAAGGAAAAAAAAGTTTTTAATCCATGATTTAGCCCCATTCTTTTCCTTTCTAGACCCAATTTATTTGATCCTGAATTTAGCAACCAAAGTTAGAGGTACTTGAGTGTGTCCAGTTAGAATACCAGTCAGCAACAGGACAGGGTTTTAGTCACTGTTTAGCTTTTGGACCCCACAGAGAGAGGGATGCACACACATGGGGCCCAGAATCACTCTGACCCGATTGTGGGGACTGGGCCGCTACCACCTTGCCCTTGTTTTGTTGCAGACAGTCAAGTGTTTTCATTTTTATATTGAATGTGGTATTTTGAAGAGATGGAGCAAATGAGTTTTTAATAATTTTCTTCTATGTAAATGTGGGCTTTGGAATCACACAGACCTGGTCCTATTACTTAGTAACACTGTGAGCCTGGACATGTTTCTTAATTTCTCCAAGTCTCTAATTCTCCCTCTGTATGAAAAAGGGACACTAACTGCTTGCCTCGGTTGTTGTCTGAATTTAATGCTGTAATAAACTCACCAGGATCAAGCCCTGAGCTCAAGAAAGCCTGGTTCCTTCCTTTCCCTTCTCCTCAAGTGCCTGGGAGGGTGATGTACATACTCTCCCCAGCTCTTAGGTACTTACTTAGGTGAATAACAATTTTTTAATTAACTTTTTATTCCCCATTCATCTCTTCCTCCATCTCCTGGTAACCACTAATCTTTCATCTTAATGGATTTACGTATTATAGATATTTTATATTGATGAACTTTAGAAGTAGACTTTCCTTTATGTCTTTATATATTTTTTTCCTTTTTGAATTTGTATATTTGTGTGTGTGTGTGTGTACAAAATTTTTTTTCCCCAAGGAGCTCTGGTAGCATAGTGGTTATTAACGCATTTAACTGCTAACCAGAAGGTCAGCAGTTCGAACACACCAGCCACTTTGCAGAAGAAAGATGAGGCAATCTGCTTCCATAAAGATTTACAGCCCTGGAAGCCCTTTGGGCCAGTTCTAATCTGTCCTTACAGGGTCACTATGAATCAGAATCAACTTGATGGCATTGAGTTTGCTTTTTTTTTTTTCCCATTTTTTTTCCCTAAGAAATTCTGTTAAACGATAAATTGTTTCCTTAATCTGCTTAGCTGAGTTTGGGGAATAACTTGCCGCCTTAGTAGCAAAATGGTAGATGGCCACTTCTAGGAATAGCTCATGTAGTAAAAACAAATTTAGTTACTCTTTATTATTCAGATTTTTTTTGTCCTCCACAGGCATCAGGTATAAATTCCTGTGAAATGTGCCATCAGCCTTTGAAGTCAAAAAATAAGCGTGTGCTGAAGTGTGGGCATAAGTTTCACACATGGGTAAGAATCCTCTTTGGCCCCCTTACTTCCTGTAGGACTAGGATGTATTTTGAAAATAAATGAAAAGATTTTTTTTTTCCTTAGGTATCAATAGTACTTGTTTTTCTGAACCATTTTCTTTGTAAACCTCCCGGTGTCATTGTTCATTATCTCTCTTTCCAAAGATTGGCACTGTGGGGAGGGGGAAAGGGCGCCTGGGCCCTGGGATGTGTGAAACTCTGGGAAGCCCTTTCTGCCCATCACGTCAGGATAGAGAGAACAGTTGGCTCCAGGGATTGCACTACTAAAGCAGTATTAGTTCTTTGAAAGGTGATGTCTTAAATATATGGGTAAACATGTATTTGCATTTTGGTGCATTTAGTGCAGTAAATTAATCAAGTCTAACATTTATGAGAGAAAAAAATATACTTTACTAAATCTATTGTGCCTAACCCTTGGAGACCTGGGATGTTGCCCTCCCAAAATATGTGCATAAATTTTTTGATGTTTGGGGTGTGACTAGCATTTGTTCTGCAGCCCTACAGCTGGTTAGAGCACATTAGTCAGGTCTCAGTCTTATTGATTTGACTGGAAAAGGAATCAAGGCTTCAAAACAGTTCAGTCGTGGCTGATGGACACAAGAGCAGCATAGCATACGCATTGCATAGCAACCATATCTGTTGCTTGTAGGGTCAGATTTTGACCTAAATAGGAAACAGGCATAGTGCCCTGCCCAAAGATGGCGGCTGACTGCGCCACTTTGAATATATGGGGTCAGCCGCCATCTTTGAGCAGGGCACCACTGCCACCAACTCTACAAGCAAGAGATTTGATTGCTGTGCAGCAAGTATGCTGCCTTTGTTTCCACCAGCTGTGACTGAAGTTTTTTCCCTGAAAGGGATATATCCAAAACACTCACTAGAAAAAACCATGCCCCAAACTGGCAGACTCTCCTTTAGGTATGTCTCCCATTGTCTCAAGATCTTGTCAAACTTGCCATGTACACCTGGCTACACAGCCTGGAGCAGTTTAGAGACAAAACAGGCAGAAAGCCATGCATAAGGCCTGTCATGTGCAGATGGGTGGATGTGCAAGCCCCAGAACCAAGCAGAAGGGAGGGGTTAGGGGTCAGTAGATGATATCCAAGGGCCAATAAAATGCCAGCCATTAGAAATCAGGGCAGCTGAGGCTAAAGAGCCAAGACCAAAGCTGAGGGTAGGGGTGGAGAGTAGAGTGCAAGGCATCTTCCTGAGGTGTCAGGTTGGAGGCATGCAGTAGTCATGGGTCCAGTTCTGAGGCCAATTTGCTCCTGGGGCTTCATCCACACTCCCAGCCTGAGCAAGCAATAGGGCTGTTAGGGCAGGCCCCACCAGATTTGGAGATAAGAGCCAGGCCAACCAAGGAGTTTCAGCAGTGAAGACATTGGTGCGGGAAGTAAAGATTCCATGTGGTCCTAACGGCCCCAGCTGATTTCTTTTCTCCTCCACAGTGCTTTAAACGGTGGCGGAAAGGGCAGAGCGCTTGCCCAGGTTGCTGTCATCATGATGAGTGAAGACTGCAGCCTGTACTTTCTGGAAGAGGCCCACCCTGTTCAAATTGACAACTTCCCTCCTGCTAGTCACAGCTCACTGCCAAGTGACCCACCGGCTTGTGAATTCACCAGAATAACAATATACTACACTCGACGGCACATAACAACAACAACAACAACATTGGATAGAAGACACACACATTTGAGGACTCTTCCTGCACTATGTGTCACACAGCTGATACATGGGCCTCTTATCTCCAGTTGACATTGAGTAATTCCCCCAACTCTGATTCAACACTTGTACTTGGTACAGTGGCACTTCTTACATTGTTGTTGGTGCTGCAAAGGGCTCTTTGGAGATGGGAGACTCCTATTGGAAAGCAGTGTGAGCCCCCAAAGCTATATGTGAATTCTAAGGGTTTTTCACCTGGTAAAGTGCCCCAGTTCCCCTTTTGTGTTTACAAAACTTATTCTAGTGGCTCCAAAAGACAGATGATTTGGACCTGTTACAATTTTTTATAAGATTCAGTATACCTGAGTTTATGCCTACATTTTTCCTCAAAAAGTCTGCATTTAAAAAATGAGCTTAAGCAAACCACATTTTAATAATTTATAATGTTCAAAATATTGAATGATTGAGACCAAAAGATTCAAATCTCCCCTTGAAATTAATGTGCTTTTGATTTTTCAATTCACTATTTTATACCCCTAATGCTCTGGTAGCATAGTGCCTAAGGCACTTGGCTGCTAACCAGAAGGCTGGTGGTTCAAACCCACCAGCTACTCCTCGGAAGGAAGGTTGGGCAATCTACTTCCTTAGTGATACTGCCTCAGAAACCCAAGGAGGGGTCGCTATGAGTCAGGTCCAACTCAACGGCACATAACAACAACAACAATAGATTTGCAGAGTGTTTCTCTCTCAGCTCTCAAAAATATAATCTGATTTTTTAAAAACTGAGTAAAAAAATACTTTTCTATCAGTATCAGCAAAGACCTTTTTACCCCTAAAATCGAGGCTGTGTATTACTCATACCAGCCCCACATTTGGGACTTACTCTTTGAATACTTTAATATCCTTACTAGCAGCATCTGCCCCTTCTTGGGTTAGTTGACAGCAGGTGTTTGGGCGTCTGGCCTAACGCCACACACACAGCAAGCACCATGGGGAGAGGAAGGGAGCATCATTCCTCTCCCACCACCAAGGAAAGAAACTTGTATAATTAGACAATCCTGGTAGCATAGTGGCTAAGACACTTGCCTGCTAACCAGACGGCTGGCGGTTCAAACCCACCAGCCACTCCTCGGAAGGAAGGTTGGGCAATCCTACTTCCATAGTGATACTGCCTCGGAAACCCAAGGAGGGGTCGCTATGAGTCGGGGCCGACTCGACGGCACATAACAACAACAGCAACAACAGGTGTCCCTGTGCAATTGTGTGGCATTCGACATTTGTGTGAAGTAATGCATGCTAAGCCATTCTGTGGCCTGAGAACAACATTGTAACTGTGTTAGAAATTATTTTTTAAAAAAAGTGTCTTTTAGTGATATGTTGACAGTGGTACATATGGCAACGTGAATTCTGTCCACATTCCAATTTCTCAAACAAAATGGATCAAAAAATGTTCTTTGGTGTGTTCTTTGTTCCATTGGAAACCAGCAGTCACACATTTATGAGCTAGTCTGGTCACCATCCTGGGCCCCTGTTCAGTGTAAATTTTGATGTGTTTGTGATTTAGTCCCTGGACATGCTTCTCATATTTTGAAACAGGTTCTCTATGCATATCCGTAAAGCACTGTGTATGGTCGTGTGGTTGATAACTGTGGATGTTAAAATACTTAAGGACCAGTTTGTAACAGCAAGTACAGTGGAAGAGAGGGACGATTGTAGACTCAAAAAGTGTCTTTTGTACATAACTTCAAGTGAATTCTTGTGAACATGCCTTACATGTATGTAGTAACATTCCAAATAAAGAGCATTCAAAAATAATAGCAGCTTACTGTCATTTTGCCCATTCTTTCTCAGATAATTTAAAAAACACATTCTACTTGAAAATCAGGCATGTATGTTGCGCTGCCATCTTAAAAAGTGACTTTATATGCAAGGAAGAACCATGTTTATGTCTGAGGAATCTGACAGGATCTCAGGGCATTTTAGAACTTGGATCAACATACTGCTTTATCCCCTAAAAACATGGTGAAATTCAAGTTCACTGTTCTCTGAGGTTGGCCATTTAAATTTGTGAATGGAAAGTTTATACAGGGATGAGAATGCTTACTATGTTGGGCTAATGAAAGACATTTTTCATGTTAATACATGTAAGGGTATTGAAGGTAATCAATAGTGCCAGTTTTCTTTGAAACGTAAATTTTGCCCTTTGAGGCTGATCAATAGGGTTCCCTTTTAGAGGACCTTCTGGGCATGGTGAGCATTTAGAGATTATTGAAGAAAGTTAATCTTAAAACTATTTTTATTTAAGTCTATTCAAAGTATTATAGTAAATATTTGTAATCTGATAGTATGTAATTCAAAATAATGTACACTTTAGAGCAGTGACTATTCCTAGAGTTTAGATTTTTTTTTCCAGTTGAACTGCTCAATCTAAACCCCAAAAACCAAATCCACCGTCATCTGTCAATTCTGACTCATAGTGATCCTAGTAGAATTGCCCCATGTGATCCCCAAGGCTGTGAAACCTTTTATGCCCTAAAAACATTGTGAAACTCAAGTTCACTGTTCACTGAGGTTGGCCATTTAAATTCTTCAGGGAAGCAGGCTGCTTCATCGTTCTCCCACAGAGCGGTTGGTAGATTCAAACCACTGACCTTTTGGTTAGCAGCCAGATGCATTAACCACTGTTAATAATGGATGATCAAATACAAAAGTGAAATGATGCCCTAGCTGTGCAAAATGTTACTACAGATTTAAGGTGATTTCAAAGATAACAGAGGCCCGAGGGCAAAGTGATTAACACACCACAAAAATGAAGCAATAACTAATTTTAAAATTACTTTTGGCACCTTTTCAATCAGATGACCCTCTCTGAAGCAGTGAATTAAAGGAAACAGGTAAAAAAGTGGCAAAGGTAGAAGCTTTTCATCAACATAAGGTGCTTATTGATGAAGTTGATAAAGGCAGACAGGTGACTGGTTGGGTTGGTTTTGTCTGAATCAGGATCAAAACCATCTTCAGTATGACCTGTCTGTGGAAGGAACGGGAAATGTTTTAAACACTGCAACAAAGTTCATTTAAAGACCCATTCAAGACTGGACCATCAATTGGGTCTCATCCCTTTTCTACTTTGTCCTCTTTGCTCTGACATGATGGACCACCTTCAGGTGGTCACATACCTCAAGTGCTTTGCTGAGAAAAATGGGTGAGGCCTGGTGGAAACCACTGAAAGCTGGAAGCCATTCATTCAGCAAATACGTATTGAGTACCTGCTGTGTGCTAGGCATTGGGCCAGGCTTTGGTGATACATCAGTGAGCAAGAGACAAGGACCCTGCCTTAGGAAATTTATCTTCCAGTTGAATAAACAAATATACATATAATTTCTTGAAATGTTCTTTCAGACAGTGTGCCACTATTCCTCTTCAATTTGTCATTCCCGGCCAATTGTCCAATTCAAAATGACCAATATCAGTCCATTTCAGTTCACTAATGCCTACAATATCAGTCTTTATACATTCCATTTCATTTTTGACAACTTCTAATCTTCCTAGATTCATACTTTCATATGAATTTCACATTCATACTTTCCATGTTCCAATTGTAAATGGATGTTTGCAGCTGTTTAGCACTATTTTGAGTCATGCCACATCAGCAAATGAAGGTCATGAAAGCTTTGCTCTATCCACATCATTAAGGTCAACGCTACACCTCATCCTCAGTCGTATTTTGTGTGCCTTCCCACCTGAGCAGCTCATCTTGCAGCACTATATCAGACAGTGTTCTGCTGTTATTCATAATGTTTTCAGTGGCCAGTTTTTTTCAGAAGTAAATTGCCAGATTCTTCTTCCTCGTCTGCCTCAGTGTGGGAAGCTGCTGAAATCGTCCACCATGGGTGACTCTCCTGATAGTTGAAATACCAGTGACATAGCTTCCAGCATCACAACAATAGGCAGGCAACCACAGTACAACAGATGATGGTCACTGACATGAGTGGTAGAAATTCCAGAACACTTAATTGTGCTCGTGAGGAACCTGTGTACAGACCAAGAGGTGGTCATTTGAACAGAACAAGGTGACACTGCTTAGATTAAAATCAGGGAAGGTGTGTATCAGGGTCATCCTTTTACCATACTCATTCGATCTATATACGATCACATCTGAGAAGCTGGACTAAAGAAGAATATGGCATCAGGATTGGAAGAAGAGTCTAGTAACCTGTGATATGCAGATGACACAATCTTGCTTGCTGAAATAAAAGAGGACTTAAAGCACTTACTGGTGAAGGTCAAAGACTACAGTCTTCAGTATGGATTACGTCTCAAAGAAAACAAAAATCCTCACAAGTGGAACAATAAGCAGCAGCATGATAAACAGAGAATGTCAAGGAGTTCATTTTACTGAATCCACAATCGATACCCATTGGAAGCAGCAGTCAAGAGAGAAATCAGACAATGATTGAACAAATCTGCTGCAAAAGACTTCTTTAAAGTGTTGAAAAGCAAAGATGTCACTTTTAGGACTAAGGTGTGCCTGACCCAACCCATGATATTTTTAATAGCCTCCTGTGCATGCAACAACTGGACAATGAATAAGAAAGACTAAAGAAGAACTGATGATGCATTTGAATTGTGGTGAAGAATACTGAATATACCATGGACTGCTAGAACAGAACAAATCTGTCTTAAAAGAAATACAGCCACAATGCTCCTTAGAAGCAAGGATGGCATCACATAGTTTGGGCATATCATCAGGAGAGACCATTCCCTGGAGATGGGCATCATGCTTGGTAAAGTAGAAGGTCAGAGAAAAAGAGAAAGGCCCCCAATGAGATGGCTTTGAACATAGCAGCGA